GAGAGTCCAGTGAGCAGTGGAAGTGTCGGTAATGCTGCTAGACAATACCGACCTCCCGGGGCCTGGCAAATTCTCTGGTTTGGTACCAGTCAGGTCCTGAGAGTGCTGGACTAGAGATGTTCAACCTGTGCTTTGGAGCAGTTCTCTGAAACTATCCTTAGAGACATTTTCCTGACACCCTTCTCCCTGTCAGGAAGCAACTGGCCATCGCTGCTTTGCTGCTAATCACTCAATCCCGCGTCTGATTTTAGATCATTACGTGGGAAGTTCTAAACCTATTGCTAATGTCTGTGTGTGTATAAATCTAATAAGTGGTCATGTGAGATCAGAGTTGAGTTGAATCAATCTCTCATCAGCTGGAAGCACTGTGTTCCCATGGATTTGTTCCTGACACCACTGGCCTGAAACAATTAGGTTCTCACTGCTTTGGCTTCTGAAAACCCTGGATAACACCCTCTTGACCAAAACGGGTACTGATGTCTTCATATGCAAACTGACGCAGAGCACGTCTTCAAATGACATATACCCTTTTGCAAAGGTATAAAATAAAAATTCACTGTGCAGATGCCTTCATGTTTTGGGGGGTATTTGCACACTGACGTAGGGCACACACACACATCCTAGCACATGTTCTCTTGAAGATCAATCCCACACTGTGGAATAGAGGTGTAGCTATTAAAACAAGGTCCTGTAGGATAAGACTGGGTTAATTTACTGTTACTATTCATGGCTATTCCCAGTGCCTGATAGCAGATTTTCCTGTAGAATGAAGATAGGCTCTGAATTCCCAACTGGGACAGTAAAACTAGAGGATTTCTTTCAGAGGTATAAATACCGCCAGGCGAGTTGTCCTGGCAGACTGGCTCATGCAGATTGTGTGTGACTGTAGCATTGACTGAAGGTGAAGAAGATACAGATGAAAACCGGTGAGTGGGCGGAGGGGGGGGTCATATGGATTTAATCAGAGGCCCTTTAATACACATTTTTTAAATGCACTCAAAAACTTTGGGCCAAATCCTGCCCCCCATCACGCTAGTGTCAATATGAAATAATTCCACTCATTCCAGCAGAGCAACACAGGACTTACACCAGTGTCACAGATCAGAATGTGGCACTGTCTGAATGAACAAGGGGAAAAGACACTATGAGAAGGTGAAGCGCTCGGAATTCGGGACAGGCAAACGGTATCACAGTCCAAATTTTGCCCCTTCTATGAAGTCACTAGTCTGCAGTGATTTGTTTGTTTAAGCCACATTGATACTTACGCGATGAAGATCAATCTTCTAGCATTCTATTTAGCGGGTCTAGTTAAGACCCACTAAATCAAACACTGAGGGTGTGAATCCTCAATTCCCACAACCGCCAATGTTCTTTTCTACAACTTGTGGGCATCCGGACACATGATTGCATCTCGTCATGCTCTTGTCTCCTGTGCAGACTTGTACTTCTTTTGTCATCACAACAGCAGCAGCAACATTCTTCTGGTGGCTTAGACTTTTTGTATGAATTCACTTCTCTACAAAGTGTGCTTTTAAATAAACAAGAGCAGCAGCCGTGTTCTCCCCGATTTCTTTTCAACCCACTGTTCAGTCTTCCTGCTGTGATGTTCATCGGCACCCAGGTGATTATCTGCCTCATGCTGGTGTGGAATCTAGGAAATATTGCCTGTCTGACTTTTCCCAAACCAGAAATCCCCTCAGCCCAGCTTTTCTCACAGCACTGCTGAATTCCCGGGCAGTTTGTGGAGCATAGCACTGGGGGGGGAGGTAAGCATTTTAACCATGACTTTCACTAGCTTTGACATTTCTTGCTAGTAAGCAACAGCCCAACACTGCATCTTGGAAGTCATGGTGAGTTTTGTCACTGCCTCCAATGGGAACAGGGTCGGAATGTCAACAGCCTCTTTGACCAGTCTACACTACACCCAGAAGGTCAGCTTAAGGTATGCAATTCCATCTACGTACATAAAGTAGCTGGAGTTAGCTTACCTTAAGCAGAGCTTGGCATCATCTTCATAGCGAGAGGCCGACGGGAGCAAACACTCCCATCGGCTTCCCTTATTCCTCGTATCTGCAAGGAGTACTGATATCGATCAGAGCCACCCTCAGTGTTTGATTTAATAGGTCTTAACTAGACCCACTAAATAGAATGCCAGAAGACTGATCTCCACAGTGTAAGTATCGACATGGCTTAAATCTCACTCCCTCCCTCCCTTCCTCCCGGAAGCAGATTAGCAGAACTCACTCATGCAACCAGTAGGACTAAGTCTGTCCAGGAAGAATGTCCAAGCTGTGCTTGCCAAATGTAATGGATACATCTTGCTACATGTCCTGCCATGAGGGCACAGGACTCGACTCGATGACCTCTTGAGGTCTCTTCCAGTCCTAGTGTTCTATGATTCTATGCTGCTTCACATGCCGGGTGCTTCACAGTAAAATGCAAGCTGATCATGGGAGCAAAGCGCTTGACAAACTGGGTCCAAGCCCTCTTGATTCTCTAGCCCTCCGGCGCAGCACCGCTGCTAGCAGCAACTACAGCCAAACTTCTGTCTGCTGCTGCTAAAGGTAACTCCAGAGAGAATGTGCATGTATCTGCCACGGCTACAAATCACGCTTCTGCATGTACTAAGCATGTCCAGGGAGGAGACGTATTCCAGCGAGGGCTGCCAAGCTATTCACAAAATGAATCATAATTGATCGTGCTGTTAAACAATAATAGAATACCATTTATTTAAATATTTTGTATTTTTTACATTTTCAAATATATTCATTTCAGTTACAACACAGACTACAGAGAGAACAATGCTCACTTTATTTTTATTTTTTATTACAAATACTTGCACTGTAAAAGTATTTTTCATTTCATTTACTACAAGTACTGTGCATTCTCTTGACCAAGAAAGTGAACTTACAAATGTAGAATTGTGTACAAAAAATAATTGCATTAAAAAATAAGGCAATGTACAACTCTAGAGCCTACAAGTTCAATCAGTCCTACTTCTTCTACAGCCAATTGCTCAGACAAACAACTTTGTTAACTTTTGCAGGAGCTCATGCTGCCTTCCTCTGGTTTACAGTGTCACTTGAAAGTGAGAACAGGCATTTGCATGGCATTGTGATAGCCAGCCTCTCAAGATATGTATGTGCCAGTTGCTCTAAAAGTTTGTGTGTCACTTCATTATTCAACCACCATTCCAGAGGACATCCTGATGACGGGTTCTTCTTGATAATGATCCAAAGCAGAGCGGACTGATGCATGTTCATTTTCATCATTTGAGTCAGACGCCACCGACAGAAAGTTTATTTTATGGTTTTTTGGTGGTTTGGATTCTGTAGTTTCTGCATCACAGTGTCGCTTTTTTAAGGTGCTAAAGGAGCACTCGAAGTAGAGAAGCAAAATGTTAGGAATCATCAACCCATTCAATTAGCCTCATTGGCCCTGGTTCTACAATTGAGAGGTGCTTTTTTTTCTCCCCCTTCTTTTTCTATTATAAATTCTGGGTTTCTGTTATTTCCACTCCAGCTCATCTGAAGAAGTGGGTTGTGCCCACGAAAGGGCATGATACCATCTATATTTTTGTTAGTCTCTAAGGTGCCACAGGACCACTTGTTGTTTTTAAAGGAACCATTAGGAAAGGGGTAGATAATAATACAAAAAAATCATAATGCCGCTATGTAAATCCATGTTCTGTTTGCATCATCTCACAAAAATATATTAGACATGGGAAAAGTACACTGAAGAGCAATTAAAATGATTAGGGGTATAGAATAACTTCCATATGAGGCAAGATTAAAAAGGCTTGGACAGTTCATCTTGGAAAAGAGACAACTAAGGGATGGAGGAAGGATATTAGGGTACGTCTACACTGCATCCCTAGTTCGAACTAGGGATGCAAATGGAGACGACCGAAGTAGTTAATGAAGCGGGGATTTAAATATCCCGCGCTCCATTAACATGATCTCGCGGCATGCACTTCCTGGTTCGAATCAGCCGTGATTCGAACTAGCGCGCCGGCGAGATCATGTTAATGGAGCGCGGGATATTTAAATCCCCGCTTCATTAACTACTTCGGTCGTCTCCATTTGCATCCCTAGTTCGAACTAGGGATGCAGCGTAGACGTACCCTTAGAGAGGAATCAGGAAATGTTATATACCTTTCACATCAAACAAGAACCAGGAACAGGTTTAAAACAAAACAAAAGGAAGTATTTCTTCACATAAAGCACAGTTAATCTGTGGAACTCCTTGCCAAGGGATGTTGTTAAGACCAAACGTTTAACTGAGTTCAAAAAAAGAACTAAGTCAGTCCAAGGAAGATAGGTACATCAGTGGCTATTGTCAGGAACACAATGCCACACTCAGGGTCTCCGATAGCTCTGAAAGCTGAGAGTAGACACTTAAGGGATGGATCACTCAAAGTCACCCTGTTTTGTCCAATTCCTCTGTAGCAGTGAACCCACAAAGCTCAGCCATCACCTGCCCTTCCCCTGAAAGGGGACACTCTTCACAACTGTCTGAGCCACAGCGGCTTGTGACCCCATCTCACGGTTCTGCCGAACCTGCCATTTCTCTTGCGTTCAAACCCATCCAGGCTGCAGACTATTGTCATTCAGACACTGCGCTAGTTGTCCTTCCAGGTCCCCAGAACTGGAACTGGACATACAGCCGTGGTCCAGCGCTGAAGGGAAGCAGCAGTTGAGAGGAGAATAGACAAAACGCCCATGGGCTCACCTTGAGCAAGTGTGGGGAGAGCTGTAGCAAGGGAATGAGGCTGGGGAGGCCCTGGAGCTGGTGGGGGGCTGCAATTCTCCGTGAGGGAGATGGCAGATGGGACATCCTGTTTGTGTTGGGCTCCAGACGCCTGTGACTCAAGAGAGTTGCATGGAAGAGATTCATTGAGGAGCACCCTGCGGGGACAAGGCGTTTTCGTTGCCAACAATAACCTGCCATGTGGTTTCAATTACAGCCTCCGAAATGGTCCTGGACACCAGCCGTGCACCATGTCACACTGCAATGACTCCAGCCCCTCCACCTTCTTCCTGATGGGCATCCCGGGGCTGGAGGCCAAACACTTCTGGATCGCCTTCCCGTTCTGTGCCATGTACCTCGTGGCCCTGCTGGGGAACTCCACCCTCCTCTTTGTGATCAAGACGGAGCCAAGCCTGCACTTGCCCATGTACTACTTCCTCTGCATGCTGGCAGGTATTGACCTGGTGCTCACCAGCTCTACCGTGCCCAAGATCCTGAGCATCTTCTGGTTCCGCTCCCATGAAATCGGCTTTGAGTGTTGCATGGTCCAGATGTTCTTCATCCACGGCTTCTCCGCCGTGGAGTCGGGGGTGCTGCTGGCCATGGCCTACGACCGCTACATCGCTGTCTGCAGGCCCCTGCACTACTCTGCCATCCTCACCGACGCCGTCATTGCCAAGATGGGGTCGGCTGCCTTCCTGCGGGGTCTCGGCCTGATGACTCCCTTGACGTGCCTGGTAAGCCGTCTGCCCTACTGTGGTCCCAGGCTCATTTCCCATTCCTACTGTGAGCACATGGCCGTGGTGAAGCTGGCCTGCGGGGGCACCACTCCCAATGATGTCTACGGCATCACGGCCGCAACTTTCGTGGTGGGCTCCGACTCCATCTTCATTGCCGTCTCCTACATCCTGATTCTCCAGGCCGTCCTGAACCTCTCCTCCAGGGAGGCCCGCTGGAAATCCTTCAGCACCTGTGGCTCCCACGTGTGCGTCATCCTGGTCTTCTACACCCCGGGGCTGTTCTCCTTCTACACACAGCGCTGGGGCCAGAACATCCCCATGCACATACGCATCCTGCTGGCAGACCTCTACCTCTTGGTCCCCCCTATGCTGAACCCCATCATCTATGGCATGAAGACCAAGCAGATTAGGGGGCGGCTGCTAAGGCTTTTCTATCCAAAGAGAATCCAAGCTGGTTTTGACTCCCCACATAGTTTTGGAGGCTGAATGGCAAGGAGCAGCTGTAGAAGGTTCAAAGAAGCCCCCAGAATGTCTGGTTCTGATCCAAAATGAAGATTCTCCAGCTGAAAATCCCATAAGAAGATGTTCTCTCCTGAAAGTGCTGGTGCTTTCTTCCTCCCGGCTAGGCTGATAATCCTGGCCAAGACCCAGAAGAATAGAATCGCTATGAACACGAGTCATAACTTTTAGCAGATGTTCATTCTGACTTCAGCTTGAGGATGAAAGTTTTTAGATCGTTGCTTACCCATACCACTGGCTCCTCCTTAACACTGAACCCCAATATCACCAGTATGCTGCTTCCCAACAGCAGCTGGTAAAAGGCTGTTCCCACATGAGAGGCCAAGTTCTACACGTAGATCTATCCCTCCATTCCTTACATAAGAACATAAGAGTGGCCAAATTGGGTCAGACCAATGGTCCATCTAGCCCAGTATCCTGTCTGCCAACAGTGACCAATACCAGATGCCCCAGAGGGAGGGAACACAACAGGTAACCATCACCCAGCCATCTGTATGTAGTAAGATGAGGGCCTGAAATGTAAGCCCACGTATCACAGACTGTGTATGAGGCCTGAGGCCCAGACAGCAATAGTCAAGACTTTGTTAATATAAAGCAAAGTGAAGCTGTGAGTAAGAGGCAGGCCCTGCTCACAGAAGTTGGCAGGAGTAGGGTTGATAGTGGAGAAACACTCAGACCTAAGAGGTACTAGGCACAGGCAGTAAGCACATTCCAGAGGGGCTGTAACAGAGCATCTTGGGTACGTCTAAACTACATGGCTCCGTCGATGGAGCCATGTAGATTTGTTTGTTTGGCAAAGGGAAATGAAGCTGCGATTTAAATAATCGCGGCTTCATTTAAATTTACATGGCTGCCGCGCTGAGCCGACAAACAGCTGATCAGCTGTTTGTCGGCTCAGCGCGGCAGCCATGTAAATTTAAATGAAGCCGCGATTATTTAAATCGCAGCTTCATTTCCCTTTGCCAAACAAACAAGGGAAAAGGAAGCCGCGATTTAAATTTACATGGCTCAGCACGCTAGTCTGGACGTTCCCCTGCCGACATGAAAGCCTTTTATCGACCTCCCCAGTAAACCTCATCCTACGAGGCATAACGGGGAGGTCGATAAAGGGCTTTCATGTTGTCAGGGGAGCGTCTAGACTAGCGCGCTGAGCCGACAAACAGCTGATCAGCTGTTTGGCGGCTCAGCACAGCAGCCATGTAAATTTAAATGAAGCCGCGATTATTTAAATCGCGGTTTCATTTCCCTTTGCCGATCAGCCTAATCTACATGGCTCCATCGATGTATCCATGTAGTTTAGACACACCCCTTGTGTAGAAACAGCTCGGTATCAACACACACCTCATAGATAACAGGAACATACCCACCCAGGTTCAGGACAGTATCTACACTGATAGCACAATAGATAATAATCGAATCCCCATGTACAAAGTAACAGGTGGGTCGAGGTAACATCAGAAGGTGGCAACCTGATATGTCAGGGGTGATATGTAACTCGTTTGTCTCTATGTATTAACATGAACCCCAAAGAGTTGCCTTTTTCTGACCTAAGGGGCAGTGGCAGATCCCATGTCACTGACTGAGTTGGTCCATTGTCACGGGCATGAATTCTTAGCCTACCTGTAGACATCTGATCTGAGGAAGCACTTGGTTGACAATAAACCTACCCTGGTGCCTTCCATCCTTATCTAATGTTGTGGTCTTTGGGGGGCTGTCTCAGAGTCAACTGTGGTGGCTACTAGCACAAGCCAACACAACACACAGAGGAGCATAAGCATGTAGCCAAATGAGTATCTTCATTGATGGAGCAGAAGACCTCTCAAGACACCACTAGTGACGCCTGACTACTCCACCCTCCTTCCAACCAGCTATCATCAGTCTGCAAAGCTACCTATCTGTTAACCTTGAATGGCCACCCAGGTGTGACTGTGGATGCTTCCAGCTAGAATCTGTGTGTGTGTTCTAATGTAGAATTTCCCCCTGAATGTGTATTGTATCTTTCCACCATTTCTTGCAGCTTTCCTTGAGCAGTTACAAGAAAAGATGCCTCTCAGCTCTTTTGAGAGCAGAAGACTAAAAAACAACCTTGAAATGCTCCCCTTCATAGGTTGGAGAGTGTTTTTAAGTGAATCTTAGTGCTGCAAGTAACATGAAAGCTATTTTAAAAGTTGGTTAACACTTTCTTGACCGTCTCCGTGTTCTACTTTTCATGACATCTTCTTTCAAACTTTTTGATCTCCTGCTTTTTGGTCTTTCTCGCCTTTATGGAATGGAGCATGCTCTGTATGTGCCAAAATGTGATGGCTATTCTCCAGTTCGACACAGAATTCTTTATCATTGATGTTCAAATATTGCCCACCTGTCAGCGGCCAGTGAAGGAGCATACAATTCTTCAGAAGTATTTTCCTGTCCACCGGCAGCTAACTACGTTCATACAAAACCCCACAGGTCTTTTCATGGTACTTCATTTGTCCAAACCTTTCTTCAATGGCCACTTGAGCAGTATCAACAAGTGAGCATAAAAACTCCTTCTTGAATTTTTCTTCTGAGCGTCCCATTCCCTCATCCTTGCCCTCATAACCAAATTGTCTCCTCTTCCAATAAATAAGCACTTTCTTGAAGATAGAGTCAAGTCCTAAGTTTTCCACCATTTCTTGGGCAGCAGGGATTGTATATTCAAATCTATTGTCTCTGGAGGCCACAACAAAATCAAGTTTTTCATTAGTAGTAGTAGTAGTACTAGTAGTAGTAGTAATAATAATAATAATAACTTATCATTAAAGTTATAGCAGTTGCAATACCCATCAACTGACTTTGTAATGCCTTGCATACAGTGTTTACCTGGAACAGGATATCATGCCAACCCACAATTCAGATTAGAAATTTGGAGCCAGCGATCTGCTTTGCCAGGCTTTGCACCCTCGTGTCAGGTTCTGGCCTTGACTTTACTCAGTAGCACCAACTCCACCACAGTGTTGTAAAACCTCAGTTAGGCCTGGTCTACACTAGGACCTTAGTCTGAAATTAGCCCCCCAAAGTCAGTTTTCTGGTGGGGGGGGCAGGATGGGAGGGGCATAAGTTGCACTGAGGGGGGGGATACTATTTTACTTTGTAGAAGCTGCACTTTCCTTTATTCCCCACTTCTTTGCCTCCCTCCCCAACTAGCTATTTGGCTGCATTCTCACCCTCTCACCTTTTCTGCATTACTCCCCCAACCGCCTCCTGCCCTCAAACGCCCTCTTGTACCCTCATCCCCTCCTGATGCCAAACACCTTCTGGACCCTGCTCTCCTCACTCCCTCCAGTATCCCACCTCCTGCCCATATCCTGCATCCCTCTGCCACTCGCTGGCAGCCCTGTCCCACATCCTGAATCCATCATTTTTCCCCACCCCAGAGCCTAAGGGGGTCCCCAAAATCCACTAACTCTGGGACCCCAGAAAAGTCAGTCTGGTCTCTGGGAAGCCCTGAACCTCAGTCTTCCCTTCCCTTTCTGCCCCATGAGGCTGAAGCGCCAGAAGAGTGAGGTGTCTTAGTTGGGGGCCACATCGATGAGGGTCGGGGTTTTGGGAGGAGTTTTTTTGTCTTCTCACTTATGTGGTCCCCAGCTGATTTTTTGTTGGGTCAGTGACCCCCCCAACCCAAAAAAGGTTCCCCACCCCTGCCATAAATAAAGAAAACAGTGAAACAGCATACTATTTTAGTTTATTTAAAATGAACTTTGATAAACTAACATGAGAAAGTTAAAACACTTAATCTGTTTAATCATTGAAATTAAACCGTTCTCCCCAGCTGCAGCACTAGCAAAATGGCTCGGGCATAATTATGTAATTAACAGTGAGTTTTCATTAGCAACTGGTAGTCCGCAGAAAGGTTTGCATTGATCCAGGTGGTCCACTGGGTGTGGAGACAACCTCTCCCACCTCCCAGGAGAACGGCACAGCCAAGGACAGGAGCACCGCACTTTGGAAAGGTTGCTGACCCCTGCTGTAGAAGGTTCGGTGAAGATGTAGCTAGCTCCCAGAAAGTCTGGAAGGCTCCATGAGATTCTACAAAGGTCCAGAACATCCTAGGAGGTGAGTGAAAAATAACCCCCCGTACGGAACACTTGAACCATTTCACTTCAAGCATTCTGCTTTCCCTTTTGTTGTGAACAAAACCAGCACCCTGCACCCAGACCTCCCCCCCTTCCCACCCACACACACCCATTAGCCTGGCACCCCAGATGGTCTCCTGAGTGGCCTACCCCTAAAGCTGGCCCTAGGCATGAGTATTTTGATTCAGATCTCTGCTCTACACAGTGCTCTACACCCCTCCCCCATGCCAACCAGGGTTACAAAAGTCTTAATGTAGAATTTAAATACCATGTAAGCCACAGGTGGGGAACCTAAGGCCCAGGGACCAGATGCAGTGCCCAGCTTGCCTGGATCCCGTCCCCTGGGCTCAGGGCTCTTCTCCCCCAGCATTGGGGACCTCACCATGCTGGCACTCCAGCCCCAGCTGCCTCCCACCCGCCTGATTTTTCTGTGAGTCAGCAGCCCCCGACCCAAACCAGGGGACCCACCCTGGTGTAGATGCTTCAGCCCAGGGTACCCTAATGCAGGCCAGCTGACTCCAGTCCCACTAACCCGGGGCTTAGTGTAAACGTACCCTAAGAGTCCAAACGACCCCAGTCTTGAGGGCTGTCCTTATACTTTATGAGGCCCTATGCACCAATCTTGGCTTCCACCAGGGCCCTGGGGGTCGCAGATTTCCCCTACGTACAACCTATCTGTGCTGGGAGGCTTGCCTGGGGCTGGAGGAGAGCCACACAGGCCAAGGGCTCCTCTGGGCCCCCACCCTGGCAGGAGAGAGCCCTCGCTCATGGCTGGCTGCTGGCAGGAGAGTGGGGAGGGAGAAGGCAGCCCTGCAGCTTCCAGCAGGAGAGAGCAGCAGGGGAAAGGGGGCAGCAAGGAACCAAGGAGGCTGCAGCAGAGGTGATGGGGCCATACTTGGGCATACAGGTTCACACAGCCGCCCCCCAGAGTTCGGGTGCCCGCCACAGATGTGTCTTTCACGTGTGCCTAGG